TTCTTATATTCGTTAGCATAGCTAGCTAACCAGATGCTAATAACAACAAAGTTATTGACTGTATGATCAGTATGACAGATGAACAGATCGCCACTGGGCTTACAACTAAAGACACATCCACGAAAAAACTGCGGCATGTGTACGGCTCCTTATGGGTACTGCAATTTTTGGAAGTGCTGAAGCGACGTTCTGATGCTCTCCGTCAGAACTGCACCCCTGTCAGACGAGACATATACCACGTGATGACACGTAAGGCTCGTGTTGTGTTCAAGGACCCTGACCTTGGCCAGGAAAAACAGCCACTCGCTTTTTTATTTTTTCTAGATTTCTTTAATTTTTTTCTTTTTTGCGTGTGCTTATAAATTACCTCGAGGGCCGTACCAAATGGTCTCGCGGGCCGTATACGGCCCGGGGACCGGAGATTCCCCACCCCTGGTTTAAAGCCTGCCGTGTTTAATAATTAATCTCGTCGTTTTGAGAAATGTTGTGAGATTAAAGACGCGAAGAAGCGCTTGATGAAGTGTTTACGGTGGCTTCTCGTGAAAGAAGCCCGTTTATCGTTTTAAGTCTGGGGGTTTGTACTTCTTTCTTCATAACACACGTGTGTTGACGATGTCTGTCATGTTACATAGGATATTGCGACCCGCGTTGAAACAGGCTCAGCTGCTGTCAGCAGTCAAAAACAAGCAGCCACTGTGGAGGCACGAGACGCTGGTCCGCGTGAGCTCTGCGTGCGATGCAACTATTCGGTCACTCGAAGACTGTCTCGGTGAGTTAGTGCAACACGATTAATACATACTGTGGGGCAAAACTCGAGGGGGAAAATGTACTCAGATCTTGTACTTTAGTAAACGTAGAAGTACCTGAGTGTAGGAATACTCTGCTATAAGTAAAAGTCTTGCATTTAAAATATGACTCAAGTAAAAGTAGAAAAGTATTGGCATCAACGTATACTTAAAGTACCAAAAGTTGAGTACTCATGCAGATTCATAATAAAACGTAACATATGTTTATATTGTAATTATTGATGCATTAATGTGTTTATCAAAGCTGGTAAAGGTTTGTAGTTTTAATGACTTTGTATACTGCAGGGTAGAATGTGAATTTCACTTCAGGTGTCTAAAGTGTTATTTAAGTGTTGATTATATTTCACATCATTAATTTCAATCTGCAAAGTAACTAAAGGTATTCAATTAAAAGTACAATCTGAATTGTAATGGAATAGAAGGACAAAGTAGCAAAAAATTGAAATACTCAAGTGAACCACAAGTACCTCAAAAATGTTACTTCAGTACAGTCCTTGAGTAAATGTACTTATTTAATTTATAACACTGGGCAAAACTCAACATTAAACTCATGCTTATGAAACCCCCAGAGGTCAACTATGGAGGGGCGCCGATGCGGTTCAACTACGTGTGGCTGAGGGATCACTGCCGCTCTGACGCTTCATACAACTCCAGCACTAACCAGAGGAACCTGGACACTGCGAGTATAGACCTCTCCATCCGCCCTGACAACACAACTGTGCAAGATGGCCATCTGGTCCTCACCTGTGAGTACAGTTCTACCAAACCAAACATCTCAAAATACAAGTCTGGTCAGGAAAAGCATGTCCAAAGTGTTTTAAATCATTTTCAAGTTATGTGGCAGTGTTTACGCCTCATCCAAAGTAAATGCACTGAAGCCCTTCGTAATATATCAATATTATATGGATTTTGTGATATGAGACTAGGTATGGTCTTATATTTTGATATAGTTTGATGCCAGTATGGGTGGTCTCTAATTGGTTTTAAAGGCAGCATTCAAGTAAAGTAATTCGTAATAATTTCTGCACCCTACAATATCGTTGTAATATTGATATTGAGGTTTTTGGACAAAATATTGTGATATTTTAATTTCTCTATATTGCCCAGCTTTAAGGCATTTTAATGACACTGTAATGAAGTTATTACACTAGGGTAGATGCCAAACAAGCACAAGACCAAGACTCCCAGGGGCCCCAGTCAGATATATACCTGGTCCACTGATGCATTGCACCTTTGTTACAGGAACAGGTCAAATACCATCTAAGGTAGTAATGCAGTATTGCATAATCTTGGGGTCTTGTGTCAAACGCTGCATATATTTGAGTTCACTTTGAGCTCATATAGTGCATGTTCTTGGTTATAAATTGTGTTTAATGAAGAGGCCCCAAACTAACCTGGCCTAACCTCGGACCTCACAAAACAATTAAACAAAATCACCAAGGAACTAAACTATGAAACATGGCATTTACAACATGTAACCTTAGGTCAGATTCAATGATTTACCTTAAGTTGACTAATAAAGTGCATCTTGAAAGTCTCAGTGTTCAGTCACACTTAATGTTATATTTCGAATATTTCCATAGTTTTACCTTGCAACTGCAGCCCTAAATGAAGAGGAACTGAAGCGGTAATCTAACAGACTCCATTGACAAAAACATGCATTTTACCCATAGACTGTATATATAAATTATTTTTACCCTGCAGAACACAGAAATTGCAAGTCACATGCTGCCTTGACCTGGTGATTTGTTTCTGTTATGCATGACTTTTGTGTTTAAACAGCAATCCATATTCTCCAAAGTCACACAATAACACAAAACAAGCAACCGACCATACAAGTAACCTCTGTGTTCTGCAAGGGAAAATCAATGTGTTTGTCAATGGAATGGCAAATAACAGGCACTGAAAGTATATCATACACATAAACGGATATTGGCTAAAATACATTTTGCTGCAGCCCCGGTCCACAGCAGTACATTGCTTTAATTTCGTGCTGGTACTCCTTTCCGTTTTCCTGAATTGAGCGTTTGTCTACTGCCACCGTTAACTCTAGCTAATACACTGAAAATGAAAAGGTATTTTTATATTACTCGCTTCAAACAGTCCTAACTATCCATTTGGAAGAGAGGATATTGCTGTAAAGAGTCAAAAATAGAGCATACCATCATCACACATAATGTAAAGTTCTCTTCACATGGAAGAGTTTGACTTTTTCCTCTGTGATGGCATTCTTCACATAGTGTAAATATTCATTCTGTTGTCAGTAAATCCTTAGGGTGTGGTCAGGTAATGAAAGGGGACAGATAAAAAGATATGAACGGTTAAATAAATCTTTATGTACTCTGATTTATTTTCACTTATAAATCTCTATCAGTTAACGGTGATTTGCAACATCTTTTACTGACTGGCACAGTGAACATTTGGCTTTGAGAGACTCATTATATCACTGGCATTAAAATGGTCTTAAAATGAAAATATGAACAATCTTTCTGGGTCAATATATCGTCTAACAAAAGTGGTTATCCTGACAGGCCTATGGCAAGCACACAATATGGAAAGGGAGATAGCACCACTATAAGCTTTTAATAGCATAGCAGTGCAGTAAGAACCTGGCAGCTTATAGATGCCCATGCTCTCTGGCTGTGGGCGTCTGTCTGGCTTATGCCACTCGGGGTTGTCCTTAAGATGGACTGATGCCTCCCTGTGGGCTGCTTGGCCGTTACAGTTTTTTTTATTTATGCACAAGAGTGGCACTGAATCTTACATAAACTGACAAATGGGTAGCTGTCAGCCCAGAGACAGTGGATGATGCATACACTCCTGTGGGCACACTGGCATACACACAGTGTGGCGCTGCATATTCAAGGTCAGCTGAGTCTGGGTGAGCTCATCCTATCCATCAACATCTGCCCTCACAGACTTGATTTGCTAAATGCTCAATCTCAACGGTGCAAAGGCCCTCATGGATACTCAGGTTGCATGCAGATCGTATCTTTCTGCTGTATGTGTACATAAACCACAGATGACAAGCTTTTTATGAGCTTTTCTGTAATCCTTTACGACCTGATGTACCACAGTACATAGGTTAATGTGAGACTACTTGACAAAAGGAGAGGACAGAGATTTGAGCCAAGAGATTATACTCAAGATGATAAAAATACTTGAGTTACTTTAACGTCTCTATCATTTTCATCTTATTGTGTGCATTTTACACAGCAAAAAGTTTACTCGCACACAAAGTGGCAAGTGGTACTTTTTCTTAAACTTATCATTATGGAGTTAAAGTTGATTGAACAATGTAATGGCTAAGAATGACTCAATCAACCTATAAAAGCCAGTATCATAAAGAAATAAACCAGGAATGTAACTCAAATAAAACAGCCGCTGAGGCCCCAGTTAGCGGTTCTTACGCAGTGTCAATGATCCAAGTCCAGGCAAGAGTCCTTTCTGTGCATTTTATTCCTATAATAATTTTTCCCTGTGCCTTTCCCCTGGCCTCCTACTACTTGCCCTGGTAAAAACCATATGCCATACTGGTGCTCTACTCCCACCACCCCCTGTCTCCAATATATAAAATTTGTTGAATTATGAATTGTAATATATGAATTTGTTACTTAATACTCTTATACTAATCACTTCCTGTATTCCCGTGATAAAAGGGACATGCGCAATAAAACGTGTCACTTCCGGTTGAAGCAAAGCCGACGGTGTATGTGTGTATTTATTCCTCTGTCACGTTAAACTACGTTCACGGTATTCCTGCCCTA